AATTACTCTACTCGATTGTGAAAAGGCTAATTAAACCGTGTTTCCAGACGATCAGTTTTTATGACAAGTTTTATATTATATGTCACATTTATTTCCATGCTAAAACTGCTTATTGGATGTAGTTCTGATAAAGCTCAATGGTATATATGCCCTAAAATATATGGCAAAGTTAGAGTAAACAGCTGAATTGTAGTATATTCAACAATTAAATAATGACTTTCTGAAACACGTTCTTACATTAGACAATAAGCTGTTTCCAGACACTCTTGATAGTTAATAGCTCCCTCTACAACATGAAGTACGTCAACCCATAAGTTTTCTATGTTCATTGGTATGACAGCAATATCATCGACCTATTGTGGCACGATTTTTTTAAAGTTTCTGAAACGTTCTCTGATCGTAAATTTTTATTTAAAACATGAGCTTTCGACTGCCAGTCTGCAGTCTTCGACAGGTAAAGTGATATTAACTACAAGGACAGTGGTTTACATCTGTAAACCACTATCCTTGTACATCCTTGTCGTTTACATCCTTGTAGTTACATCCGTAGAATAGTTTATATGATTTAATATCACTTTACCTGTTGAAGACTGCAGACTGGCAGTCGAAAGCTCGTGTTTTAAATAAAAATTTACGATCAGAAAACGTTTCAGAAACTTTATTATGAATCCTGGTCGTGCATCTAGCATTTTTAATACAATTTTTTTATTTTCCCTGACCTATAACTTTGGTCCTAGTTCAAGTTTTTCAAATATTTAGAAGCGCTATAACATTCTGAGTTTTTTGGTCTACATATCTTTCAAAATTTCCTTTCATTGGCTGTTTCAGTATTAAATTTGAAAAACTGAAAAGTCTGCATGTTGCGTTGTCGAATCGCGTGTCCAGTGTGATTCGGCCTGAAGACAGAGGCGTGAAGGTACCGCGATTTAATATGAATAATTCATAAATTATTTTATTGTTTGTCAACTTGACACCTTTCTGATATTCTGTATGCACTAATGAACGTTTGATGAAAATTTGATAAAAATCGGATTTAGTATAGGTAATAGCATGGTTTCAAGTGCAATTTGGATATAGCATGCACGAGTGAGTTTTTCAAAGACATCAAAATAGCACGAGTCCGAAGGACGAGTGCTATTTGAGGTCTTTGAAAAACTCACGAGTGTATGTTTATCCAAATTTCACGAGAAACCATGCTATTACTTATTAATAATTTACATAAAAATGTTCGAGACAATCGTAGTTTTAACTTACGCATCTATAGCGAACATTCCACAGTTCCACTGGCAAAGTTTTCGTGGCTTTGTTATATCACATTATACAACGCTAACAGCTTGAAAATTCCACTCAACTATGTAATTTTTGTTAGTTTTGTTTAAGGTAAATGCTTTTCCATTTAAAAATAAAGATAAAAGCCATTTTCCACGCGAAGGCAACTTTTACTTTGTGTAGCGCGGCGCCATGTTTGTTTTGTTTTGAAGCAATCTATGACCGTTACTTCTTTAAACTAAATTTCTTTAAACTGATTGGTTGATTTAATCATCACAATGTTTTTCCACCAATCAGATCAGTTTGTTACAGATTTTTGCACTGTGATTACAGAAAATTGCACTGTGATTACAAAAAATTGCACTGTGATTACAGAAAATTGCACTGTGATTACAGAAAATTGCACTGTGATTACAGAAAGTCTGAAACAGGCCTTAGAATTTGAATGCCCTAGCACTAAGCTGAACACAAAGATACGTAAAATATTGACAAGGGTGCATATATATATTAAATATTGACTTAAGAAATTAAAATATCTTTGTAAAGCGCACAATTTTCCGATCTTGGCTTTGGGAATTTAAAGCAGCTTGTTAATAAACAGTTTCTTTATGCATAAAATTTACTTATGTCAAGCTTTTTATGCACTTGTCATCTTGTGTGTTCAGCAGAGTGCGGAGGCATTAAAATTCTAACAATACGTTATTTCAATGGTTTGGGGGTTTTGGGGGACATGTACCCTGTATATTTTTTGTGTATGTTTTGATGTTATGTACTCAGGTGTATATTATACAAATAATGAATGTTTATGAGTGCAATGGTAAGAATATTTTCATGAGGTGAAAGATGGAATGTTCCATTCAACGAGGCGACAGCCGAGTTGAATGGAACATTCCATCTTTCACCGAATGAAAATATTTTTACCATTGCACGAAGAAACATTCATTATTTGTTTTATATAATACCAAAATTCCAGAACAGACTAATAGATTCGATGAGAAGCATTTTGAGGGATGCGATTTATCGAAAACACAAAGAGTGCAATTGTACTATACGTTTTATTCCATTGCACTCGCGGAGAGTGCAATGGAACGCGTTCCATTGCACTCTTGGGAAATGGAATTTTCTATTCAATATCACGTGACCATAAACAGCCAATTAAACGATTAGAATTTAATAAGGTATTATATAAAATGTTTTTGATGATACTCTGAGCCGCCGGTGTATATCCACACTGGGCAGGCTGAAAAGTTAGCCTGACCACGGTGGGAGTTGACCCCGCACGACCTTTGGGATACTATAGTCCACTTCATATACCCTGTATATTGGAGGACAAAGAATTAATAACTTGAACAAACAACAAATTTCTATTCAAAAAGTAAGCAGAATGATAAAAAATAACTTTATCTGCAAACTGAAGAACATGTCCGTACTATTTGATGATAAAAGATGCTGTCATCTTTTCATTTGCAGTTAAGTCATGCCATTTGTCTGGATGATTCTTCACAAGTCACTTCCTACGACAAATTAAAATGAGAAGAGTTTCTAATGACAATAATATCGATAATAATGCAAAGGCCCTGTCACACTATTGCGTACGAGAGAAACGTAAGAGAAGCGTATGGGTACCATACATCTGGCGTACCTGTAGCATATTCAGCCTGTGCCTAGAGTAGGCTTATCGTATAAACCATACATCCGAATACGCACAAAATTTTTGAGCATGCTTAAAAAAATGTTCTGCCTCGCCGTAGTATGCCAGCGTATGCCACCGTATGCGATGGTGCTTGAAACGTATAAAACCTATGCCTAACAGACCCCTTAGTGTTTTCCAGCGTTTGAGTGATATTTTTCATATGCTGGCATATGCTATAGTATGATACACAATAGAGTGACTTTTAAGTCGAAATCAAAGCCCTCCAGTCCGTATCTCTCTGACTCTGTAATAGTATTATTTCTAATATATATTGTATATATAATCTAAATCTATGCAGGTCGATTGACTTATCTTCGATATGCTTCAATGACCAGTATTTTTTTTTGGGGGGGGGATGGGCAATGGGGGAGCTATACGAATATATAATATATATATATAGTAGACCACGGTATACAGGGCAGAGGCATATATAACATAAAAAGTATATAGTAGCTACTATATAATATATACAGACCAAATAGGTGCATTTGACAGGGTGTTTTATTAAAAAGTAGAAAAGTGTGGACTGTGCATGCATGCATGTACCGGGACATGTATTCCATTAGCTAACATAAAAAAACCCAGCAGATCTAGTTTGATACATAGGTGGTGGTGCTAATACCCACTCATTTAAAATATAAAGAAAGAATTAATAAAATATCACTGAATAACTTACTTGTAAAGCTTTTCAAACTCTGGTCTCTCCACAGTTTCCCAATCTTTTTTAGAAAACCAACATACTTCCGAAAGAGGGCGTAAGCAGCGTATTTTCGGAGCACAATTATCCCATTGCGAAAAAAGAGAATCGCTTAATGATTCTAGATTAAACCGATCCATAATGATATTGCTGATATATATATATATATATCAGCAATATCATTTGAGCACTCTGATCGCTTGAGCACTCTGGCCCCATTACACTCTGCACATGTCTGGGTGTGTTGAGTCACTGTGTTGTACCACATGCCTTGGTGAGAGCAAGTTCATGGGGTATAAATACTCACATATCTAGACGTGTACCAAGCTGCACTGACGAGGCGTTGAACGCCGAAACATGCATGTCTGCAGATTGTACTACATATATATATATATATGTATGTATGTATGTATGTATGTATGTATGTATGTATGTATGTATGTATGTATGTATGTATGTATGTATGTATGTATGTATGTATGTATGTATGTATGTATGTATGTATGTATGTGTGTATGTGTATGTATATGTATATGTATATGTATATGTATATGTATATCGGTTTGGCATTGTAATGTATTGTGCTATATTGATTACTGAGACTATTTAACTGACAGTAGACAGATTTATATAGAGGACGCGGACGTCAAAGACGACGTGAAAATGGCGTCAAAATGGCGTGGCATATCCATACATGGGCACAACACGCCATTTTCACATCGTCTTTGACGTCCGCGTCACAGAATAAGAAGGTACAGAAGATGTGTAACTCAAGCAAATATTTGTCCGCGTTTTTACAAGCGATTCGTCATCAATCACGCCATCCTGGCTAGTACAACCGGCACTTTGTACCTACCAAAACCTGATAAAAACTTCCGGCTGTACTAGCCAGGATGGCGTGGATTGGCGTGAGCGAGTTAAAATTTTCGTGGACGTAAAACACTAAAGGAACCGTCTCGAGTTACACTTCTGCTATACCTTAATTCTTATTCTGTGTCCGTGTCCTCTATCTAAATCTGTATATTTACAAAGTGACGCGTATACCGAGCAAATTTCGATAAAATATTTTGTCTAAATCGTATATTTTAACCGTTGCAAAGTTGGGAAAAACCATTAAAAATTAACTTGTGACTTAAGATGATGAATTTCACTTCAATTAAACGCCTGCACCTACATAATTATCACTAACTAATAATGCGTAACGATTGCACCACATTTCATGTTTCTTTACAGAAGTATCAACAACATCTGGACGCAATAGGAAATGACGGATCTACAGTTGTTTCCGCCATTTCACTGTTGGAACATACAAGCGCAATCGTCAGTCTTTTTAACGACAAGATGTTCATCAACTCTACCAACGACGAGAGGTTGACAAAACTACAGAAATTTTACAATGTCATAGCAGAATGGGCTGATAATTGTAAAGAATCGAAGACATCGTTTGTTTCAGATAAACTCTGGTTCGATTTGCAATCGATGTGTATTGGCTTCAAATCACTTGTATCTATCAAACTCCAGAACTTCCCCAACTCTGTGGTAAAGCCTGCAATAGTAAACCAAGATTGTGTTGAGAATCATTTTTGCCAAGTAAGGGCAAGTAACGGTCAAAATAACAACCCCACGTTTCTTCAACAACAATCAGTTCAGAATTCAGTCAGATTTGGTCAAACTGTGATAAGCAGAAAAAGCAATGCTGGAAAACCAAGATAAGTTTTATATATACTTATTAAAAACGTTCAACTTCAACGAATAACGTTTAATGATTGTGGTATGTAACTTAAAGTACAGCAATCATTTTTCAACTCTTTAATTTATAGAAGAGATTTTTTTGAATGGCGCGTTACTCCCGTTTGACAACATGAAATGCTCGTCTGCATGCAATGATTGCACTCAATTTTCCTAAGTTGATTTTACATTTCTAACTTTTGATACGTCTCTCAATCTGCAAAGATGCGTAAAAAATACGTTAGTTGTTCGAAGAATGTAATTCATAAAATAATTCTAAATATAAAGATTAAGATTATGGTTGGTATATATGCCAAAGAGAAAATGATGTTCAATATTCAATAGGCTCAAACTTGAACAAGTTTGCTTTTATTATTGTAAACATGTCTTCAATATTATTTTAGTACTAATAGATGTTCATTTACAAAATTCGTTGATATTTTCCTGCATGTTCCTCAACCTCAATATATTTTTTAAAGGTAGAGATCTGTTTAAAATAGAAAATAATGCCTGAATTTGAGCGAGAAGTCATAACATTTTAGGCGACATTGGCAATTACGCGGCATATGAAAAATTCTCTTCTTATGACTTATAATAACACATAAATATGGAAATTATTAATTGGTAAGAGTAATTTCTGAGACAACAATGAAGGCAGCAATTTAAGTGCAGAGAATATTCAAATAATGTAAACTATATTGCATTTGTTAAGCGAAGACGAATTCGAAACTGTCCATCAACTTCGGATGATTGAACCACTGTGTACTGAC